CGATTTATGGTAATGATTACGAGTGCTTCTGTCCTTCTGGCTACACTTTTAATGGCGTCACGTGTCAAGGTGAGTACGAAGACTTGTTGGTAGATCTCTTGCGTTCTCTCTCAGTCGTCCAGGACCTTCCAATTCGTCTAAGGTGTCTTTACACAAACCTTAGGCGTTTATTACTACCTTTGAGACGAAGCCTCTATTACTAAGTTTGATTCTAAAAAAATATTTTCTTGAAAAACCACTTCTGAAACCCCCTTCTTCTGAAGTGAAATTCGGACATGAGGTCCACTCAGTATTAGCACCGTTGTCCTAACAGTATTGATCTTGATGGCATCATTCCTAGTGACAACAACGTACGTAATGGCGAAATATGCGCTGGGACTAACACATCTAATTCACCCTTTTATACCACATAGATAACTGTGACACATACAATTGTTCATGCCAACGCGACATGTCAGGGTACAATCGATGGTATTCTATGCGTTTGCGATGACTTACACGTCGGAGATGGCACTGACTGCGCACTTTGTGGAGTATGAACACTCTTCAACGAAGGCGAATGTCTAGGTACGTGGTCATGCTGTTTGCGTTGTCCATCTATAGAACGGGACTGCTCGACAATATGTCAATTTCGACTGTTGTGCTTTGTCCACTCAAGCGAATTTGAGTCCTAGATTTTTCCTAACGGTCACCAATATTTTATACAATTTTTTAGATTGTTCAAGTGCCATGGAAGATCTTGATTGTACAGAGTGCACGTTGAGTGGGGAGGATCGCATTTGCACTGCCTGCAGCCCGTATATGAAAACGAACGGTTCAGAGTGCGTAGGTAAGGGTTTTGTAGATTTGCACAACGTACACTCAAGTTACAATGAGTATTTCTTCTTGAATTAGGGCTAAATTCCCCATTCGTAGTTGCATTATAAATTGTTCTCAATACATCGTTGTCTTTATTCTAAGGTCCCTCCGAGTTTAATTCATATTTTTTATTTTGACCTGCAGATAACTGCCAGAGCATCGAGTGTGAGGAATCGAAGGAATGCGTTGCAGATGCAGAGCCATTGAGTTCTCGGTGTATGTGTTCCGCTCCATTAGTTGTGGACGGACTTGGCTGTGCCGAATGCCTCCCTGGAACAGCATATGATTTCAGCAACTTGCCGGGCGAATGCGCAAGTATGTACAGTTATTCGATTTTTTGTTTATTTACGGATTTTATTTTTTTATATCCTGGTCAATAAAATACCTAGCATTGCGTGCTTGTTACAAGAGGTTGCAGGTCAAAATTTTACTTTCTTATTTGGGTACGCCTGATTTTCTTTTTATTATCATGCAGTATGCACTGTCGTACTGGAGGATTTGCATGTAATGGAATGCGGGTCTCGAATAGTTGAGGAAGAAGTGCGACGCCCCATATACGACAAGACGACAGGCGAGCCCCAATGTAGAATACTACCGCACGAAGTGTACTCAAGGGATGGTGGTGGCTGATGGCACCAGTCCATGTGTAGCGGTGTCGCCTACGCCTAGTACAGCCCTATCACATATCATGACCGCTTCTCCTACGATGACGGCATCACCCATGATAACAGCATCACCTACGATGACAGCATCACCCACGATGACATTATCGCCCACGATGAAAGCATCACCCATAATGACAGCATCTACCACGATGGCATCATCTCCCATGTCGACACCAACGCGTACCATTACACTTTCGTCTACTATGACAGCTTCAACTACCATGACATCGTCATACCCATTGACAGCTTTGCCTTCGATGACTTCGTCGCCAAGTCCATCCGCAAACTGTGCGACAATCAATCCACTCTGCGTGGGCTGTGATTTCGCCGATGTCGGCGATGGTAGTCTGTTGATTTGTATTGAATGTGCCGCGGGCTATTCTGCGCTGGATTCTGCGTGCATAGGTAAGTGCTCCAAGCTGGCATTATAAGGCTCACCTATGCAGTGGAGTCGTATTGCAAACATAATTACACTAGTCTCTATCGATGTCGAGCAGAAAAAATGCTATGAGTCTTATTGATGGCCTACATGTCGTTGTACCTCACAGTATTCTATCTGGTTATGCCACTGTCTCTCGCTATCTGCACAGCTTGTGACGTAGCTACTGCGACTACCAAATGTGCGGAATGCCAGTCGAACGGCGAAGGGGTCGTGTGCACCGGATGTGCTGCCAATTACACGAGGCATGAATCTGAGAGTGACGTCATCACATGCAGTGTGTATAGTACGGCCATGGGACCGCTTCGGTTCTATAGTGTCGTTTGAGCCCGGTATTGTCAAGGTGGTTCTGATGTCGTCGTTGTTTTGTTTGTATGATATATACTGATATGAAGAATAAGACAAGCTCTACCACTCAACTGCAACCACAACTTTGTGCCTTCCAACGTTTGTAAATGATTGTTGCTTTGGCAACCCTTGTAGTGTTGCCAGCAGCACGTGTACCTCGATCTTCGGAAATGACTACACCTGCGCCTGCCCATCAGGATTCACTTTCAACGGAATCACATGCCAAGGTAAAGTAAATACATACGTTGCCGATTTTTGTTGTGATCAGATTCACTGCCGAGTTTTGGTGAAAGTTCCAGACGATTAACACACGCTTCGCTGGCATTGAAATAGATGTTCCTATGTCTGATTTTATGTTGACCGATAACTGTGACGGCAATAATTGCCATCAGAACTCGACATATTCGGGCACGTCGGAAGGGTTCTTGTGTGTATGCGATGACGGGCTTGTCGGTTCAGGCACAGATTGCATTCCCTGCGGCGTGGGAACGGTATACAGCAGCGGCGAATGTATGGGTATGTTTCAAGTATAATTAAACTTTGACGGTCGCGAGGATTGATTCATTCGGATATCAGCTTTAGTTCGTTTCAATCTTGGGCCACTCGTCTCTCTGACTCAATATCCGCCCAACATAATAACTGTTGAAATCACAGCTTGCTCCACGGCTACCGGCGATCCCGACTGGACGGAGTGTAGTAGAAGCTGGGACGTCGGTCAACTCTAATGCCTGCAGCAACTACAAAAGCTGTCGGATACGCTGTGCATAGGTATGTTCAATCTCTTGTTTGGATATGGAATATACGACGAAGAATCAGACATATTTTTTACCTTCTCGCTTTCGTTCCAGCTGTACCTCACTAGAACTGTTTGCGATTCACGCTGACGTTCATCGCATCCGGTTACTCAGAACGTCGTACTCACATGCTTGTATATTTACCCTATTTTACAGACAATTGTCAGGGCGTCATTTGTGACGAATTGAAGGAGTGCGTCTCGACCCCCCTTGAGAGCCAGTGCGCTTGTTCGGCTCCATTGGCTACAAGCGGAAACGAATGCACAGTGTGTGAGGCTGGAACAGCATATGACTACAGCAGTCTGCCGGGTCTCTGTCAATGTAAGAGGGCAAATTGTGTGAACTTATGTGTTTGTAGATGTGGGCATGGCAACAATCCGTATTCTGTGACGGCGATATTGTTTTCAAATGACGCTACCTTTGTCCAAAAGACACTGTTTGTACATTTTTGTGTCTGGCACTGTTGATCCTTACCTGTGTCGGTTGTATCTCGATTGAGAGCTGAGGAATCTGGCTTAGTTATTTTAACAGCTATTTGTATCAAATATTAACAAATTTCAATGTACCGACGGGCTACATAGTGGTTAATGACGGTCTCAGCCCGTGCATACGCGTAATTTCATCCCCTACCACGTCTGCCAGTGGTTCTCGCAGTGTGGTAGCCTCTTCATTGAGCACGGTCCAGCCATCGAGATCAGTGACAGCTGTCGCTTCGCTCACGTCGTCTCCCACGGCAAGTGTTAGTCGCAGTGGCATCCCCATCTGGTACAGCCGAGGCGTCGCCATCGGTGACTCCCTCGATTCTTTTGACAACAAGCGCCTCTCAGAGTGCAGTAGCAACTGTGTCCATTACTGCTCAGGCAATGTCTTCCCAGACGGTTGCAGCTTCGCCTACACCCTCATCACTACCAACAACTACCGTTTCTAGTAGTGTGGTTGCCATTCCGTTTAGCACAGTAAAGACTTCACCTTCGGTTCTCGCGACCATAAGCGCGTCTCAAAATGAGGACGCGACTCCATCTACCACTGCCCAGGCAACATCCTCACAAACAATACCAGCGTCACCCTCGTTTGCGACAACTCCAAGTGTTTTCCGTAGTATGAATGCATCCCCATCCAGTACTGTTGTGGCGTCACCATCAGCTCTCCCGGCTATCAGTGCTTCTCACAGTTACCGCCCAGGCAACATCATCACAAACAATACCGGCGTCACCCTCGTTTGCGACAACTCCAAGTGTTTCCCGTAGTATGAATGCATCCCCATCCAGTACTGTTGTGGCGTCACCATCAGCTCTCCCGGCTATCAGTGCTTCTTATAGTGTAGGAGCGACTCCAACACTACCGCACAGGCAACGTCGTCTAAGACAGCCGCAGCGACGGTTCTGCCAAGTCCAAGTAATTCGCAGAGTGTAGGAGTGACTCCATCCACCACCGCGCAGGCAACAGCGTCTAAGACAGTCGAAGCAACAGTTCTGATAAGTGCAAGTAATTCTCAGAGTCTCGCGTACCAGCATTACATCGGCGTCGGCATCGCCAGGTCTTGACGTTGTGGATTCTGTGCCACCGTGTGCGTTGCCGACAGGGGCTATAAAGCCGTCGCAATCGGTGCTACCGTCACTGACGAACAAACCAACGCCTTCAGTGTTACCTTATTCCTCGGTCACTAGCGCTTCGTCGTTAACGATTAACGACCTCGGCCGTGCGCACCAGTGCCCCCTCCCGGTCTGAGGCACCTCCGCAAGCATCGCAGACAAGCGCTACCTCTCGAACGAGTGAGGCATTGATAAGTGCGTTCCCGACTAGTACACCTTCCCTATCCAACCAGCCGTCACAGACACCCCAGCCGACACCGTGTGTGAAACCTGATCCCAGTATCAGCGTCGTGCCTCCATCAGCCAATCCCACGAGGTCAGCACAGCCAGCGCAGTCAAGCACGGCAACTCCCACGTCCACCGAGCTCTCGTCGTCACGTACGCCATCGTCATCTAGTTCCGTATCGCCAGCTAGTTCGGTCACACCAAGCAGCACGACGTTGCCGTGTATGACTGCATCAAATCCGTGTTTTGAACTCGACAAGGCCTGTGTGACAGATCCCATGTTGGCCAAAGAATACTTTTGCCAGTATTCTGCCGGCTATTTCGCCGGGGAGTCTTTCGTTTTTGTCTTCTTTCTTTCTGTCTTGTCCAGCTTGAAGTATGCGTAAAAGTCGTTGGCGTGAACCATATGACATCGATAACCCATTTGATCAAGCATTCCGATACGAACTATTCCTTTCGAACGCATTTTGATTGTATGCGTCCACCAACAACCAATTTTTTCGCCTCTGAATACTGTTGACAATGCTTATAAGCCAAGGGGTCCTAAGTCTTATTTCAGCAATCGGATAGTATTGGTTCGAATAGAGACCGACAGGAGCCCACGTCGAATTATTCACAACTAAACTTAACATTTGTCAACGTCTCATTGATCATACAGTTGACGATGGAAGTCCATGCGTAGATATTGATGAGTGCCTGGATTCTTCCTGTAATCCGCTAGCAACGTGTACTAATCTGGACAGGTCCTTCAAGTGTGAATGCCCAAATTCTCATTATGGTGACGGTCACCTGTGCGAGGAAAAAAAAGTGTGCATCGTTGAAGAAGAATATGAATTGGCGCCAGATATTTATGATTCTCGAACATGCCCATACACTCCACTCCACCTTATTTGATGGATTGTGACATTCTATAGTTGTGACATTCTTTTCTAATAGTAATTTTCCGTTGCGATCGAGTGTGTATCCTCGACTTGTCATATCTTTTAGCTCAATCTCTGCTGATTTTATGCGTCCCTCTCCAGGCTGTGCCTTTCTTATACTGTCTGCAATGGAGTAACTACGTACGAAGCTACCCCCGGGACAACTGTGTCTGATCGAGAATGTGCCCCAGTCACTGAATGTGAAGAAGATGAATATGAGAAAACTGACAAGGCTGCGGGTGGCGCCCCGGTTTCTGTCTGCCTGAGTGACCAGTGCGAGAGCGGATACCTTAACTCTAATGGAAGTTTCGCAAGTGTCTGTGCCACTCCGGTCATCTCATGCGATCCCGGCTTTACACTCGCCGTACCCTGCCTTTGGCTTGGAATTTTGTGATGTATGTACGATATGTATTGTGTTCGCCGAGACGATCGATGGGGAATGTACCTCAAACGCAGACACCATCTGTAGAGAAATCAACGTGGTCAACGATCCCATGACGTTGCGGAATTCGATCGAAGAAATTGGAATCAGTAAGTACTGCTCTGTGCTTTGCTAGGCTCGATGAAATAGACCGTTTTGCACTTGAAGAGAGGCTCGTGTATGTACGGCTACACAAAGTCTCGATGTATTTACTTTAAATGTCTGTACGTATTGAAAGGGTCACTTGAAGCCGCCCACTGTGATAGTCTGTCACATTTTATGATGTACAACGTCTCTCGATCTTCATGAGATACTTCCAACCCGAGTCAACCCGTTCGTTTGTCCATATTTGCCTTCCGTACACAGATAATATCATCGTTGATATGCAGTTGGCTTCGGTACCAGAATAGGTGACCGGGTGCGAATCGAAGGAACAGACATGGGAATCAGTAATCAGATTGGGGATAATACTTCAAGAGAAGTACCAAAATAGGCGATGAAAACAACTGTAACGGCAGCAATTGCCTCGGTGAATTCAGTCTTGTCGGCAATTGAAATACCTTCGGGTATGTAGCTACTTTTTCAATGCGGGGGGCCGATATGAGCAAAATGCTCTCATAAATACATTTCAAAACATTGGATTACGCAACTACCACGCATTGAATCATTTCTCGGTTGCCTACACTAGGTAGGTGAGATATATACTAATGTAGAATAGAAGGAAGGGGGGAATATCTAATCTCACCCCTTATTGTATAAATATAAGCGGGGACAGTAGAAATCTACTAAGAGGGTTAGATTCCATTAGACAATTTACATGACTTGAATTATTTTCACTGCAGCGTTGGAGTGTGTTTCGGCGATAATAGCGAACTTAAAGACTCGAATGACCTTGGAGCCAATTTGAAAGCCGGAACAAGAAATCGGATGATGAGTAACAACCTGATAGGTAAGTTTATTGCAGATACTTTTTCTTTTGCTGTACTTCAAGGGAGGAGGAAGTTATTCTCGGAAGGTCAATTCTGAAAAGACTTTCTAAGCTAGGCTTTAAAAGAAAGTGTGTTTGGACGATCCAATCGTTTATTTGATTATCCTATATTGACTTGACTGCAGGACGAGATGTAGTATTCGGTGATTTCAACCAGATCGGAGACAACGTTGTGATAAGCGATGACGTATCTGTTGGTAGCAACATTACCATCGAATCTAATACTGTCATTGATGATGACACAACCTTGGATAATAATATAAGGATTGGTGCCTACAACTGAATCGAAAACAATGTCACAATCGGAGATGGGTGTCAAACCGGTGCTCAAACCACGGTAAGGGATTCTTCGAGATGTCATCAGAATTTGTACATACCTTGTACCAATATATCCTGAATGTAGTGATTATCTCAATTACACGTGATATCGAGGACATGCGAGCCGCAACGTGTTAGGGCATGCGAGCCGTAACGTGTTACACCCGCGTACCATATTGCGGTATATTCTCAAGTTATGTTTGTGTACATTGAGGATCATAATAGATCTTAATGACTGTTTCGCATTGTCAGAGATATTTCGAATCCATTTAAGGGTTTTTAGGGGTTATAAACTCAAAACCCTAATATCTAAGCACAGAGTATTCATGCCGTTTCTTGAATCACATAAACGCAGCTAGAGACGGGCGTTCGTCTGGGCGGTGGCAACATCATCGGTGACCAGAGTTGAATTCAAGAAGGAACGGTAATGGGAAATAATACCTCCACGGGGTAGAACAGCACTGTAGGGAGGCGCAACGAATGAGGTTCGAACGTGACTGTTGGAGACGATGGGTATACAGGTGACGACTGCCTTTTGGAAGGCAACGTCCGTATCGGTCGCGGCGTGAATCTGGGTGATGAAATTGTTGTTGAAGAAGGGGTTGAGATAGGTGAAGACGACTCCTACCATGACGAGGGTCCACAGCGACGGACAGCCGTCCTACACCGGCCCGATAGAAGGGCTTCAGCCGCATCCAGACGGTTTATGAGTATCACCAGAGTGGGTTCAGCTAGTCGGATCAATGCTGGTGCGCGTATCGCCATTGGAGCTCAGCTGGGTAGGAACGTTACTTGTCGAGCGCGAGCGCTGATTGGACCAAACTGTACGCTTGCTGAAAACACACGTATGTTATCCGTGGCTCTGATAGCAAAGGTTACATCTGTCCGAATTGGTTTTTTTGTTTATTTTGTTTTTCCAACTCCCTATATCGGCGCCCAGTTCACATTTTGGTATCTATGTGGACTATATTTACATCCTTTATTTTGATGAATCTCCTTCGGTTGCCAATAAACTTTTCTAGAGCACAGAAATCCTGCCGTTAGTTTCTCTCGTTACCAATTTCAAGCTAACACTCGTACATGCCATTCCCATACTTGTTGATGAGGGTACTCGATTAGGCTTCAATGTCACCACTGGCACAGGCTGTACACTTGGTCGAGACTCAGCGCTTGGGTCTCATTCTCAGCTAAAACCACAGTCCACTATTGGTGAGCAAACGGTGGCGGGACGAAATACACGGATTGGTGCCAGGAGTAGGGTGAGTCATAACTCGACACTGGCGTACGGGAACTCGATAGGAGATAACGTGACGCTCCACCATGATTTAAGAATGGGATCAAATAATACCATTGAAGACGACGTTATCCTGTGATCCAATGTGCGATTAGGACATCGCAATGTTCTGCGCCGAGGAGTGGTCGTTCTAGATAATGTGATTATTGGAGACGATGCAGACTTTGCGGAGGGCAGTATCGCCAGTTTGCTTGCGTACACCAATGAGGAGCGGTGGGAACTGGAAAATGCCGGGTCCAATAATACTGATATGATTGTTGCCGTTATAGGTTCTCTCATGGCCGTCAAAGCCCTGGCCATCGGTTTGACATTCGGTGTAAGAACTCATTTGGAAGTCAAGAGGGCCAAAGAATGGGCCAATCGACCCCTGCCAAGTGCTTTGCTGAATGTCGATGTCTATGGCGAACAGGGACAGACTGAGGAAAATGTAGCTGTTAGAGTGTATGATGGTAGTCCTTGAATAAAGCGTAATTGTATATTATAATGTGTTGAATTTCTCTATTACTGTTCGAATGAATTTATTTCTGATCTCACCCTCAGTTATATACTGATGGTGTCTGTACTAGTGTTCAACCACTTGGGTTGGCCAGGGTAGAAACTCATATGATCAGTATGAGAAACCTTGTGCAGAACACTTTAGTACTCTGATATATTTCTAGAAATAAATATATCACTGTCTCTGCTACGTACTCTCGGGCACGTCGCTTTCACTGTTACGTACTCTCGGGGAGGTTCGGTTTCTCTGTTACATACTCTCGGGCTGACCCACCTATAAATAGATGAATTTAAGAAGAAGTCTTAAATTACTCTTTAGCTGCTGACGTAAAACGTTATTAACGTAATTATGAGCGAGCTGACTCTGACAGTCTCTCACTCCCTCTCAATTTTACAATAAAGGGCTGAAGGCTGAAAGCTGAAGACTGAAGGCATATAAAGACTGAAGGCTGAAGGCTGAAGGCGGAGGAGCTGAAGGGCTGAAGGCTGAAGGCGGAGGAGCTGAAGGGCTGAAGGCTGAAGAGCTGGATTATGAAATTGTTGATTTTGTAGATGGGTTGGGCAGAAACATTGAACAAATGAAAATTTGTCGAAAAACGTTGACGTATTGAAGCTGTTGGTGTTGACTCGATGAAAATTTATCGAAAACGTTGACGTTTCTGAAGAGTAGGCGATCCTCTGTACAACGACAGGCATCACGACAGACGTGGATAATCTTCTGTACAGGGACAGGCATCACAATTTCGCAGGTAAAAATAACTCATAAGATTTTCTTGAGAAAGAAATGATGCTTCTGAAGCGATGTGGCGTGGATGCTGGGGAACAGCTCCCTTCTGCGTTGTGGCATATTTGTGTCATTTTTACTGTTGTTTAGTCGTTGTCGCAGTTTCGCTAGCTGCTGAAGCTACGAAGGCTGGTGACGATATGTCCGAAAAATCGGGCTGCAAAATATTTACAACAAGAGCCAAAAAAACAAAACAAACCAAAAATTCTAGCAGGTCAAAATCGAGGAAAAATTTCGCGCAAAAAACAAAAACAAAAAAAACCCTTATCTCGATTGACGATTGGCCCTGGTGAAGAAGAAAAAAAACATAAAATTGGTGCTGGGCTGCTACAAGTCGACGAGGCCAAAATTACTCCAAGCTGGGAAATTTCAAAATAGAGTAATCGATAGTCTGTAGAAGAGTCGGGGACTCAGAGTCTCTCCACGGTAAGTCGACTCTCAGGTCCAAGGACTCAGACCTAGTAGGGACTCAGAGCCAGAGCTGAGGGCTCAGGGGCTCAAGGGCTCAGGGCTCAAGGGCTCAGGGCTCAGGGCTCAGGGCTCAGGGCTCAGGGCTCAGGGCTCAGGGCTCAGGGCTCAGGGCTCAGGGCTCAGGGCTCAGGGCTCAGGGCTCAGGGCTCAGGGCTCAGGGCTCAGGGCTCAGGGCTCAGGGCTCAGGGCTCAGGGCTCAGGGCTCAGGGCTCAGGGCTCAGGGCTCAGGGCTCAGGGCTCAGGGCTCAGGGCTCAGGGCTCAAGGCTCAGGGCTCAGTCATCTCTAGTAGGGACTCAGGGCTCCAGGCGACCGAGGAAACTGTAGCGATCCAAGAGAAATATCAGATGAAGGAGGGTAGAATTTCTCGTGAGAACTTCTTCAAACAAGAAACTGTCGGGAAAGGTGCCTTTAGTATACCGAGGCGTTCTGTACGACAAGGGCTGTTTCGCGCCTATTGCGATTAAGGAGCTGCAAGATACGGGTGTGGCCCCTGTGAAAGCAGGACTCTACGACAATGGTTTTAGTGAAAGTGAATCGATGACTATAAGCACAAGCACCGTAAATGCTGCCACCGGCGCACAGGTAGGCGTATTCTCTGCCTGTTGCTATGATTCAGACTTGTATTTTATCTGGGCCCTAGGTTGTGTTTATAATGATATCGGCGATGTTAGCACATTTCGTTTTCCTCACGCTACCTTGCCTTCCGTATGTTGCAGATCGAGCCACTACGAGAGGCCGAGTTAATGCGAGTTTTGGGACATCCCAATATTGTATCATGCATTGGAGTGTCCGAGAAGATGCGTGGATGTCGATGTGTAATTTACATGATCACATGATCAATATGGTCAATTCAGGAAACCTGTCCTGTAATTTACATGATCACATGATCAATATGGTCAATTCAGGAAAGGTAGGTCACCCTATGTAAGAGAGAGAATATGTGCATTATCATCGAGCAAATGTCGATGTGTGATTTACATGACAATATGTTCAATATGGACAATTCAGGACAGGTATGTCGCCTTATAATATTGGCGATTCAACATTCACCTGCTGTCCTACTACTTCTCGACCAAATTCTGGTAAAGGTAAAACAAAATTGCTGGATGAATGCAATAGCACACTGACACTCAACAATGAATGGATCAGGTATTTGATGAGACAGAAGCCATGTGGTACGCATATCAATTTGCCCGTGGGATGGCCTACTTGTCATGGCGGGGCGTGGTGCATCGAGATTTGGCAGCACGTAATTGCATGCTGTCCGCGCCAACGACCGGATTATTCGGACTGACAATTTTGAAGGTATGGATGTGCTTGCTGATTCGTTTTAGTGGCTATAAGATTCACTCAAAACATGCGTGCAATGTAGGCACAGGCTTCTATCCGTGATTCCTCCGTTCGATCCTGTTTAAGTTGGAAGTCACTTACCTCCTTGTTCTGGCAATCAGGTGTCCGATTTCGATAGATCCCGATTTACGAAAGGTCGACAACGACAGGAAACCGCCGCATTTGAATTAAGTCGTGAGTCAAACGCGATAGATGCAGATGGGTACGATGATTCGTCTGATGATGATGATCAGTATGTCTCCACCAATAGGATACGACTTCCGGTATGTCAGTACAAGATGGCTCCACTTTTTTTATAAATATCACTTTATAATTCTCTCGACTTCAATTTTTCGTCTAAACATTTGTTATGCCGAAATTTCTTCTTATTAATAGATTCGATGGATGTCTATTGAGGTCTTCAGGCAAAACTGATATAGCAGTAAAAGCGACGTTTGGAGTTTTGGTGTGACACTTTGGGAGCTCTTCAGCATGGGAACGGTATGTCTTCACTTTACCCGGAGACATTCTGATAGTACAAGGCGAACCGATATTGCAGCTTGAACGGAAACTTGATCTAACCTAACCAGATTGCTATGTATATATATTCTACAATTATATAGCTTCCGTACGCTGGCACAGACATGCATGAGACTCTCGAGCGTATTGAACAGGGTTATCGGCTCGAGGCACCTAATGGGTGCCCTCACCGTGTGTATCGCATAATGAGCGACACGTGGGCGCGTCATCCTGAAGCACGACCGGATTTCAAGACAAGGTGTGGAGTCTTTGCCGGCTGGTTTGTGGGGAAGTATGTACTTTTGTAACGGTGTCTTGTATTTGTTGAAGACCAATGTTTTGAGTGCCTGTGTCGATGGTTAAAGGTATCGACATGGAGTACCAGCGCAATTGCAGACTAATAGTTTAGAAGCCCATGACCTTGGATCATGGGGCAGGATAATGGATTGCTTGAAGCAGGCTGTCGTTTACTAAGGAAGTATCCGTCGTTCTCGTTTACACTTCATTTTATAACAATTATTCTCCATGAACTCCGTTGCGGCACGTCGATCCTGGTTACTGTGCCGAATGGATGGTAGATAACGGCGATGTATGCGTACAGCCGGCTGAGGGCAGACTAGGGAGGATCCTCAGTGCCACCATGTCGAAAGACAGACGGAAGAATGAGTACGACTACCGCAGATCCGAATCGCCGGGCAGTCAACAGTCAAATGAAAACTCAACGTCACTCGATCGTAGAGAGGCGCACGAAGGTGAGCAAAGGCTGCGTATCGAAAGTCGGAACGATACATAGATGGCTACCGCATACGATGAGATGAGAGACGATGTGTTTGGGGAAACCTAGGAAGATTCGCAGCTCGTCGCTTCTTACATCAACGATTTCTTCGATGAAGCCCTGGTTGACACATCTAGATATGCAGGGCGAACACCCGCCGCTAAGTGCTGACGGGGACCTACTGAACTCTGCCGACGTCCCAGGCCCATCGGATTATGAGTATATGAACAGTGTTGAAGACTTCAATGATCTTGGTTATGTCGACGACATCTTAGACGATGTGGATGAGCCCGCGCACATTTCCGGGCTCAATCCGACTGTGATCGATAACGATGCTGCAGTGTGCAATTATGTAGACGTTGTGCCGGAAAGTTCAGTGCCACTGTGAAGAAATTCCGCGCCTACAGTCGTCTCTGCCGGCACTAGAATGTCGAGTCTGCCGATGTTACACGCGACAAGTTCTGCAGCCAACTCACTCGCCCGGGGGAATCGCCTCTCCTTTGGGAACGCATAAACACAAACACGAGTGTCGGCGACAGAGAAGTCGAAGCGAAGCTCGAGACATGCTGCGGATGTGATCCCTGAGAAGCCTGCAGACACGTCTCACACATTTTGTCGAGCTAGTACAGATTCTTACACTCCAACTGCATCAATTCGGCGGCGCAATGAACTTTTCTGCATGCGCTGTCACTCACAACCAGAGACAGTAGTAGCAACATACTTGGTACGAGTGCTAGTACCAGGAACTCGCCTAAACGGCGACCCAGTAGCATTCCGAGCCCTCATCAAAGACTGAGTTTAAGTCTCAATGATGAATTTGTGGAAGTAAGCTCGCCTAACCGGAGACACAGTAGTCTTCCGAGCTCTGATCAGGATCTAAGCTTGAATCTTAATGAGGATTTTGTTGAAGTGGTGCACACTTCGAGCCTAACTACAGATGAGAACCGTAGGATGCCGTCAACACCCTCGGTATCAAATCATGCTAGTCGCCGCCGTGTGCAAACTGAACCACATATTGCAGCAGCCATAGTCCGGCATATGGCCGAAAACCCGAGCTCGCGCAACAGAAACGCAAACAAGCTGACAGGTAGCAAAACTACTAGACTCTTAAGGCCAGATTCGTTATACGTTGACGCCGTGGTCAGTAGCTATGCAGTGTTAGAAGAAGGCAGCCACGGGCTACTTATGGGAAGAGGCCGTAGATGAGTCCGCGCCAACTCAGCTTCTGTTTCTGGTAACAGAGACGAAATTAACCTCGATTCCAACTATGCTGAGGTGGTTTCATCTACCACGAGTAATATAAAAAGCTCGGAACTACTGCGGAAACAGGGATCCGCAAGGACAGAGGTATACACGAGCCCTGATATATCCCCTCTAACCCGATCTGCACTGGAGGTTACACGTGGACATTCTCTTTCTGTAGAACTCGCTTCGTCTGGAAATGACAGTCGTATCAGCTCTTCTGGTGGTGAGAATCAGCCTAATACCCAGTACGTAGATGTTGTTTCACCGGAAAGAAGCCATCCTATATCAAAATCACATTCCCGGCCGAGAGCAATATTGTCCAAAGCGCAAACATTGCCCGAATCTTCATCAGCAGCAAACGACAGTGTGTACGTCAATGATGTCCCGTCCAGTGCGCGCGCTCAGGCGCAAATATCTGAGAACGTAGCGCCACTGCCGAGAGACTATGCCGCTCCACGCATGCGACCAAAATCTACGCCACACAATAGGGTGGAAAAGCCAGACAACAACTATGTGTCTGTCGTCCCTTCACCTTATGCGAGTGTCAGTGGATCTGGTGCGAGTGTACAGCGCTCTGCTACAATCCCAAGCCGACCTGTAGACACTTCTCCACACGGCAGTGAGTACGTAGACGTTGTTTCAGTCACAACAAAACACCGCGGGTGGTCACCGTCGACGGTGCAAGTGTTAAACGGTAAACCCGATTAGGAGCGAGTCTGCGGTACAAGGAAGTATAGTGAAAGATCTCACCGTATCGAAGAGCACCAGCAATGACTGCACCTACTTTTACAATGATATGGTTCAACAGGCTGACAGGGTTATCCCGAGTAGGGATGAGTCTGAGGTACAAGGCAGTAGAGTGAAAGGTCTCCTCGTATCGAAGCGTACTAGCAATGACTGCATCAACTCTTACAATGATTTAGTTCAACAGGTTGACAGGGTTAACCCGAGTAGGGGTGGGTCTGCGGTACAGGGCAGTGGTGTGGAAGATTACACCGTGTCGAAGAGCACTAGCAATGACTGCACCTACTTTTATAATGATATGGTTCAGCAGATTGACTCGCTCACTCAAGGCTCTGTATTGGCGACCAGCCCATCTCAAATCCCCACCGACACCTCGCGTCCGCTTGCACGAGCCACGACGGATACCCCACTGGCTCGCACACACTCGAACCGCCGCATCCGAGACGCCAGCATCCATTCTCTCGAACGTTCCGATTCCTTCGTAAAAATCACACTGGACGACGACCATGAGAGGACGAGCACGGTGGCGGATGTGTATGCTGGATTGTGCCGATCACAGTCCAACACTGTCAGACAATCGACTTTTGCACGCGGTTCCGGTATAGCACTGCCAGCGTCATCGTTGCGGCCAGAGCTAGGACCAGAACCAGCTTCTCACACAAAGCAGAGTCGATCTAGTAGTCTCTACAGGACGGGCTCTGATAGCTTGAGCCCTGCCATGCCCCGTGCACTAAGCAGTGGCGATATGTGCCCGGTAGGAATTTATGCTTTTCGGCTGGTGCATTGTCGGAAATAGACGGACAATCCATCGCGGGCAAACCGGCGGATTCACAACTCAATGTGACCGATCCAAGCATCACAGGCGACCGGCCTATCTCCGCAGACTTCCTGGACAAAATAAATGCCAGCCGTAATTGGGAGCTCCAACAGTCTATACCTCGCGCGGAATAATAGTAGTGATGACATTCGACACAATGCGTTCAGGTCTTTTGGCCGCCGGCGTTCCAACAAGTTGTATACCAAAGAGCTGCCAACCACTCGCGAAGGGTCGCCTGTGATTAAAAATGTAGTCCATGACACTTAACCTATGGATGGGAGGTCAGCCAGTGTGGAAATTAATCGCCTTCCTGAAATGGAAGACGAAGAGGATGATAGAATAGAATAACACAATTTTTGGACGTGTCGTAGCAAATGAGGTAAAGTTAGAAAGATATAGAAAATCAATAAAAATAGAAAATTGACAATTTGCAGCAAGTGAAATGCATCATACTATTCAACCTGATGGATCTAATTTTTTAGATAGTAGTTCTGTAGTACACAACGATCGGAAAAGTATGCCGTCTGTACGGTGACGACGCGCACCTAAAACATCATTTATCAGACATCTTATGAATCAACCCATTGATATACATCAGTAATACACATACGTTATTTGAATGGCGACTTGTCGCTATTGATATCGCAAAATGAACTCGATTAACAGATATATCGAATACTATAGCCTTGCTGTAATATCGACAACAATGGTTTTTGCGGAGTAGCTGTCCCAATTAACAGCACCCGCAGCACTTTGACAACAAAATTAATTACTACTATTTTTTCTTCCAATCTTTTTTAATCCTCGTCGCTCCACGTGTCCAGTTCTGGCCGCCTTGTCTCCCCACCGACATCCAGCTGGAAGTCGGACGCGTCTGCAGTTTTGTGTTCGCTGAACGTTCCCTTGTCATCTACTAATGCAGCCCTGCGGCGCCTCTCGTCCGTGCCTAAAAGACAAATTCGTATCAGAAAACTCGGAAGAAACGCCTTTACACCAGAAAAATAAATTTGACAAACTATTGACGGGCGCCCAAGTAGAGTGGAAATTCGAACCAACTGTAAATTGCACCCAGTTTGTACTGATATTTGACTGGGTCAACACGGAAATTTGGACTTGTGAATATATAAAATCCAAAATAAGCCAGAAATCTCAGACCTATTTTTGAGCTATATACGTTAAAAATTAGGTCAATTTTTTGGAAGAAAGTTCTTTCATTCTGGTGTAACTTGAAGTCGTTCAAAATGTCCTGCAAATTCATATGACCTAGAGATATTAGAGATTCAAAAATGCAATTTGGCCCAGTAGATTTCAGTACAACCTGGGTGCAATTGCCAGCTATTTTGATTTCCCCCCTCTCATTGTAAATCACAGAAACACGCACCAGTGAGACTCGCTAATAAGTGCGATCATGGTACATTAAAAGCTTCGACACCATTAGGTCCCCCCACATCATACCCGGACTCCAACAGAGAATCTCATGATCGTGCCCTCCACTGTACACTAAAGGCTCGCTCGGGTGACAGGCGATTGTATTGACTCGCCCGAAATGACCCTGCAATTCAAATAAAATTCGAGTGAAGTTGAAGCGATATCCAATGATATTTTCATTCATTGCTTACTACTGCTTTCTGCCCTTTTCATACGTATCTTTCACGTATGGGCGTACGGGACACAGACCACATGTAGAGCTTTGAATACTATCATTTTGGCCTTTGCATTCTGAGGAATGTTACTAGTCGATAAGCAAAAACAGGCACTTGCAGTTGCACCAATCCGATTCTCGCATCGTAGTGGAGGTCTTACCGTCAACGTGTGTACGCGCTTTGCCGTATACAACTCATACAGAGCTATGTCGTGACCAGTGGGGTGGTATACGATAGGCCTCTCAGAATGTAGGGATACGGCCACCTGGATTGTTGGTGCGGTTGAACGGTGCGAAAAGGATCGTTGAAATGAATTGAACGACCGGTCTATCAATCAACTGTACCAATAAGTATTTGCGCGTCCTCACTTGAACCCAGCACACAACTATATAAAACCAATAAAACCAACCTCGATGCGTATGGAAATACTCGGCTACATGGAACGGTGTGCGAAAAATTACCTGAGCTGTGGTACGACTAGTGTTCTCAATCGCCGCATAATTGTTGAGCGTGTTTAGTCCCGTGAATTGATCCCACAGTCGCATACGGTTGTCCCTCCCTAATAATAGACAGGTAGACACATATGTGATTCAATACTACAGAATAGTAACATTTTGGAACAACGTCATGCAAGCTCTTTGCGTATGCTAGGCACTTCTGATTGGCACAGACTCTGTTCTCTTTCCACCACATTTGCCTCAACCAACCCGGTAGCCACACACCTCCTAAACCACCCTAGAATATAATGCAACACACCTGAGCTGAGAATATAAAGTGCATCAGGAGTGAAGGTGACTGCATTCACTCCTCCATTGTGCGCGGTATGGCGGCCCGTTGCATCGGAGGAGCCGCTGCTGTTATACTGGTCCAGAGCACCCAACAAACTCTTAGCTGATCTACGCAGAAGTCACGGTTAGGTTGGATCATGATGGGTGCAGAGTTCGGTACTGCTGGCGTATGCATGAACGATCACGCATGTTGCATGTTACTTTCTGTGCAACCTACAAATTTTATACTACCGTGTTTTTCGCCCATGAGGGCCACTGCTGAAGACCAATATGAACTGCCACTCTGCGTGTCGGTCTTAAAACAAAAGCAGTAGAAACAGCGATTAAGTGCAGCAAAGCGTAACTCGACAATCCAACACAGATCCACCGATATTGGCACAGACATCTACACTCTCGTTCTGAAATGAATATAACAAATATGCAGCTCGCAGCTGAAATACCTTATATCCCACATAAGCAGACGATGGTCCCTGCCACCGCTGACAAGTGTATATTGATCCCTCGGCGACCAAACCACAGACAGAACGCTATCGTTGTGACCTTGTAAAGTGTGTGTATACCCTCCCGAACGCATATCACACAATCGGATACTGCTGCCCGCCGTGGCAGCTGACATTTTCCAGAGTATGGATAGCGAGAATCAGAAGTCAGAGATTGACACGCCAACTCGTACATTAACAATTGTACGCATGGCTGTGGTATCACTGTCACTATTGTAACACAGTAATGCTTCATCTATATTTCGTAGCTGATTGTCGTGCATACAGTTTGCAGCTTCGTCGGTTTATACAGCGCTCTCAACGTGATGCTTAAAACAGCCGGGTCTTCTCGTTGACGAACGTAAAGGCGACGCTTGTCTACATGCACTAAGATGCACTCTAGGAATCTCACACAAGCCTCATTTTTCGGTATCAAATATAGTACAATAAACTAACATTGAGCCACTTAAATCTCTACTTGCAGCATTTTAACACACTTACTGGCCATCAGACAATGACCCGTGGCATTGGTAGGTAGGGCGTGAGTGAACACTCTATCCTTCAGATCAAAGGTTGTGACGCATTCCATAGCGTTTGTATCCCATACTTTCAGGAGATGGTCAAACCCGCTGGTAGTGAACAGACCCGTATCCACTGGGTACCATTGTGCCTACAATGAAGCACAATTTTGAGTTGTATTTGTATCTTTTTGCGAGAATATACTATACTATATGAATTGCCACAGCTACGGCATCACACCCCTGTGTAACAGAGACACAAAGAATATATGCATACGAGTTCGCTGCTAGAGAAACTGCGTGGAAGTGTACTGAAATGCGATGTCATTTCTCTTTGACCAACCCATCTGACGGAAAGCAGTGAATAGCTTCGGCACAAAATAGAGATTGCGATACTTTACGCTGAATAAGAATTTTAAAATACCTACCCGTCCAATACTAAAGGCATGTGCGTCAGATAACTTCGCAATCACGGGAGCTATTGCTGGTCTCGGTGTGTGCTGCGCTGGTTGAGCATCTGTGAGCGTCACAAGTAAGAAGACTTAGGCACGGTGCACACTGCAATAGGCAGTGCGAGGATCGCTTATTTTATCATAAGGCATTAAGTTAGCCTCACTTTTCTACAGAAAAACAATATAGAATATAATTTATGCAGTTCTATTTTATGTTTGTTTACATACTAGTAATGCCAGACAGTACACACACCATGCAACATACCATGGTAGCTAAGCGGCTCAGGCTTAGCATCCATTACATCATGGATCGCTACCGCTCCATTCGTAGAAGCCGATAGCAGGCTGAAGGGCAACGAAAAGATATAGCAATTAGCCTACAGCACTTCACAACTTATACTGTGTACGTGGTTAGCTGCGCTATTCCTGAACACATTTGAGCGCTTTGATGTACCCTTTATTCTAATTAAAACCATTATGCAGAATGATTTTCTATGCGACTTGAATACAGCGCAGGCAAGTGAGCATGTACACGCACAAAAAGCCAGAGAATATAGCATTGCAGACTAAACACGAATTCATACTATGTCAGCGCTCCTCCGTCCGAAAAGAAGCGAGTTTTATACAACACCAACACTTTCAAGCACATTAATTCATATCATATACATATATATATATATATATATATATATATATATATATATATATATATATATATATATATATATATATATATATGTGTGTGTGTGTGTGAGTGTACACCTGTATGTGTGCGTGTTCATTCGTTTATATATACGTCTCTTTAATTTACAGCCGCACAGAGGATGCATCCAAAATAGCAAGATCATGGCACTATAAAAAAACAATCGCGAAGTAGGCTTTCGAACTCGAATGCATTACTCAGCTCAATCAAAACATACTATCGAGCTTCCGAGACATCGATGTCTATGGAAGTAACGGCCGCAGAGTGAACGCGTTCAAACTCAAAATTAGTACTCAATTCAGCAGCTATTTATAATAAAGAGATTGTAAAATATTAATAAATTGGTCTTGTCCAAAAAATCTGAATCTGACGATATCCAACCTTTGTGAACTCCAACAAATCCACCCCACTCCGGGAAGAACTGTGATTCTAATAGATATGTTGAATTGGTTTTGAGTGTGTACTGATATGCTAGAGTATATTGGTCAGCAACTCTCTAATTTCAGGATAGTATTCACGATGCAACACCTGGGGAAAAGCACAAAAGGGCTAGTTAGTTTTCCCACCAGATAATAGCCACCTAACACACTATCGCACGTACCGAATGTTTTGGATATTCCTGTCCTTATCAATTAATAGATATTAATCCAGATACGACAAACCATCACTTCTACAAAGTACCAATAGTATTTAAATTTTAATAGACATACCGAATGATCGTCTGGTATTCTCCCTCCACTGCAACCGGGCGGGAGGTTCCAGCCCGTGTTCACGCCATCGTATTGATTTCAACATTGTACTATTCTTAAGACTAAGATCAATAACATTTATGATGGGAGCATCGCCGAATACTCTTATGAATATTATATATACATTCATATAAATATAAATGTATA